TGGTGGTGTCGTGGTTGTTGTTGCTGATGGTGGTGGTGTTGATGTTTTTGTTTGTTGTGTTTTTGTTGTTGTTCGTGTTGTTGTTGATGTTGTTGATGTTGTTGATGGTGGTTGTGTTGATGTTTTTGTTGCGTTTGTTTTTAGATGATCTTGTTGTTGTTAGGTGATTTTTTAGTGTCTGTTGTTGTTAGGTGTTGTTATTGTTGTTGTTGTTGTTGTTGCAGTTGTTGTTGTTGTTGATGATGATAATGAAGATGATGCTGTTACTGTTGTTAATTGTTTTGTTGTTAGGTGTTGTTGCTAGTTGATGTTGTTGCTCTGCTGTGTTTGTTGTTGTTAGATGTTGTTGTTGTTGTTGTTGTTATCATTTTTGTTAATGTTGCTGCTGTTGTTGTTCATTGTTGTTGTTGTTGTTGTTAGATATTGTTGTTGTTGTTGTTGTTAGATATTGTTGTCGTTGTTGTTGGTGGTGCTGCTGGTGGTGGTGTTGTTGCTGCGGTTGTTTCTGCTATCGATCTTGTAGCGGTAGTCGCTGTTGTCTTAGTGTTTCGAAGTTGCCAGGGAGGAGGAAATCAGAGAGAGATTTAGAAAGCTTATCCATGTACGTAATTTGGTGACTTAACGGTCTCTCCAGATTCCACCAATAAAAAACGTCAGTTTGGCGGGTGCTCTTGTATGGTCTGCTCCTTCTTTCCTATCAAACATCTATTGTTCTTATTTCTCCACCTTTTTGTGTTCATTACTCTCTTGTAACACCTCCAGTGCACTTGTATGACCTTATTGTTTTGCAAGTGCCTTAAAATGTTTACTAAAAATGCCACTGTGTCATTACGTTACTTATGCTAACTGCACACAAGAGTACACAATAGATTCATTGACGCATCAGAATAGACCATGCCCTGTGCAAGAATGTTTTAATTGATTTCATTTCTCTCACTCAGCCTGCATTCTACTGTTGTTTTCTCCCTCCCCCCCCCCTCAAGAATCTTGGCCACTTCAGTTTCAGTTTTGAAAGAGTTTTAAGGAGTTCGCTACCACGTAAGGTCATATGGGCGCACCCCCCTCCCATAAGAAAAAAACCCCCAAACAATTAATCGGATGCCCCTCCATGAATTACCCACAATCGAATCTTCTTCTCTCTTTCCATCCCTCTCTTGTCCTCTCTACTTTTCACTCTCTCCCACACACACACACTCACACACAGACACACACACATACATACACACACAATACATGCACACACTCATAAAACACACACACACGCACA